AGCAACCAAGGACTGGCAAGTCCCTGCATTATATCAGTCAGCGCATGCACAAAAAGCCATACCAATATCTAAGAAAAAGCCAAAAACAGTTGCATGCTCTCCAATGTGCCTACAAATCATTATTCGCAATTTGTTAACAAACATCAAGCCATCAATTATCCTTCTGGTTTTTCACTTCCTTAGATGTTTTGAGATAAGCCCATAACCTAGTGGGATTATATTGATATTGTCTCCAAAAAAACAACCATTTTTAAAAGCCCCTTTCTTCAAAGATTCATAATTTAATTCTCTTTCTTATTTTTCTTTTCATATTTAAAATTAAAATGTTACTAGGCTGAAAAGTACATGATTGAAATAACAAACGAAAAAGATAAACAGTGATCCAACTCTTTCTTTTGATAAGTAACCATGATCCAACCTAACCAAGAAAATTTTGAGTTAAGTAAAAAGTAATTAATAAATCAAACGGTGACACTGAAAAGGAAACACCATAAATCTATATCTATATCTCATCTTACTACTACAAAAGGTCTCTCTAAGCGTGTAGAACAATTTTAGGAAAACAATACCCTCTATAGCTCCAACAGATTGTTGGAAATGAGGATTAAGCATGGCACAATAACAGCTATCATCAATTGTAATGCCAAACTATCATAAAGCCTACAAGATAATTGCATCTCATATGAGATTATCAACTCCAAAATCCATAATTTGGTATACAAATTGTCTATTTTCCCTTTCAATTATAAAAATTTCATGTGAGAGTGCTTATAAGTATCCTGGTGTTAGTCTCTCCAAATCAATGGTCTATTTTATCTGATGTTAAAATATGGATGTTTAATAAACCCGAGAAGAAACCACGTAAAGGGTCCACGGTTCAACCGTTGGATTGACCAGAAATGAACCATCACATCATAATCATATCATTAATACATTACAAATAATAGTTAGAAATGAAATAAAATAAAACATGACCAAGACAAAACATAACAATTTTCTTCATTCTTTCCTTAGTGTGTGCAAAAAATTTCATTAGCTTACCTAGAAATGTTGTTACATTATTCATAAACTTCAATTCTCTTATCTCCATCATCTCCTTTGTTGTTGTGTTCCTAAGTTGAGATTATTGAAGAATCTAAGCCTCTCATCATATTCTAGAGAATTCGAAGTTGTTCTTCAAGGATCTTTGAAGATCTTCGAATTTTCCAACTCCTTTCTTGAACCCTCTCCTACATTCATAAACTTCAATTTTTCCTAAAATTTGTGACAAGCTACTAAAAATAAAAATAAAACTCAAACCCCATAAGACACAAGGTATACACGACTCTAGGTTCAAGATCTCGACATTAAAGTAAGCAAATAAAGCCACAATTTCTACTTTTTTGTTCAGTACTCCCAAATCTAGAGATCACGGTGAAGCAAATAAACTACACTTACCGATCATTTTTACACATACAACAATCAATTTTTAACAAAACCCTAAAATTGTAATCACTCAAATTGGAAAAGCAAAAAAACGATGAGAAAGACGATCTGAGAGAAGAGTAAGATGATCAATGCAATCTATCAAAGTAAAATCAAATACATTTGAGAGAATATTAGAGAGAAACCTCGCGAAGGGAACAAAGAGTAATTGAAATGCTCTGTAGATCACAACATTGTGGGTTCAAGTCAAGCAACAATAGAACTGTGTTTTCAAGCCCTAGTACTGTGATTCTTACAATGTGTCTGAATATTCTACGCGTAGACAAATCTATGCAATGAGAATAAGGAGCCCGGTTCACCATTTTGCAGTACTGGTTCGAGCCGGAATCCGGTTCCAAGGACCTCAGAAGCGTGCTGATGTTTTTTTTGGAAAGATAATTAAAAATTGTTTTTTATTTTTTATTTTTTATTTTTTTGCGAGTGAAAAAAGTGGATTAAAAATTGGAATGTGACTTTTAACCTACTTCTGAGAAGATAGTTAAAAGTTATTTTTTAATTTTTTTAATTTTTGGGAAAAATTGGGCCGAGCTCCGAGTTTGGCTTCGAAAGTGTTGGTAAAAAATTGTTTTTTAATTTTTTTTTTTTGTGAGAAAGAAGTGAGTTAAAAGCTGAAATGTGACCTTTAACTCACTTTCTAAAATAGGAATAACAGAAATCATGGAATATATAAGTGTCAAATATTATTCAGTAATAAAAATTAAAAAGATTAAATATGATATATTTATATTTTCTTTTTATACTTGGGGATAATTATTTGTAGGTTTATTTTTTTATCCTCACTACAAGAAAATGTATTTTTGCCGACCATTTTTGGCTACCAAAAACAATTTAGTCGTCAAAAGTCACAGATATCAACCAAATAATTCCAAACGATTACAAACGAGACACTAATGGTCTCACAAAATCACCCTTAGGTGAATTCCAAATAATCACAAATAAACAAAGAGGAAAGACCTCACCAAATAGAAGAACCAAAATCTTCTGAACCAGAGTTGAAGAAGACCCAAAATAACGAACCAAACACCAACCGAAGATGTCCCAAAAACTGAGCTTCACAAAAACCGAAATTGAACCAAAAAACCCAATCTTCGGCACTGTTCTCAGAAAATAATGTAAGCCGCCACTTTTTTTCTTTTGTTGTCTCACCAAGCAAGAAACATAAACAATATATATTAAATCTGGGATTTTGTGGAATCAAATCCTAATTGTATCTCAATTGAATTGGGTCTCCTCAAATATAATATATAAAAATATATTATACTAAACCAAGCCAAATTAAAACTCTTTTAATAAACCAATTGGGTCCCACACTCCAATAAGGAGGTATACCCAACAATTATAATAATAAATTTGTCACTGAAAATTATAATAAGATTTTTTTATAAATAAATCCAGTTCACTGTAATTGTCTTTTATACTTAACCTTCTTTTGGAAATCAACTTATAAGCCAACTTTTTAACTTAGTTATTTATTTATATCACATCACCTCTATATTTCTTGTATGTTTTTTCATAATAAGTCAAAAAATCAACTTATAAGCCATTTTTTATAATTCCACCTCCATAAACTTATGGCACATCCAATTTTTTTGCCTCCCTTCTTTTGTTCTTTCATTTCAAATAACATGATCAATCTCTTTACTCTAACAATGTATTAATTAGAAATTAATTTTCTAATATTTTTAGTCTATTCATTCGAATAAGTCAACTTCTTAATTATGTATCTATTAGAAATGAATTTCCGAACATTTGATTCTCCATCGTTTGAGAATGGCTCATATCACAACCCTTCGTAGTATTTCATGTTTTATTTCGCAAGTCCCATGGCTCATAACAATAATCTACATTATTTATCTCATAAATTTTATAGTAAAAATATCTATGCAAAAAATAAATTTTATATAAATAGATGAACAAATCATATATTTTATAAAATAAAATGAATGATTTAAATTTAAACACATCATTTTTGTCTAATTTAAAAGAACAAAATATAATTTATTTATGCATCTACTAATATCCAATGAAACCGAATGTTTAGAAAGTACACATTGTAGCCAAAACGTCAATACAAAAATTTGACTCGTTCTTTCTATTTTTTTGTATGCCTTTCTATAAAAACTAAAAAGCCATAAAAAAATATAATTCTCAAACAAATTCTAATATTTATATAATTTTACCGCTAAGTCTATGAGATAAAAGATTAAACTCCTCGTTGTGAGCACAGTGTAGAACCTACAAAACAAAATCAGCAATGCTAGGTATCATAAAAAGTCTTTCATAAAAATGATCATGAAAAATTTGTGACTTTTGAATTACAGTTAGAACAAAGCACCACACGCTAATCAAGGTAATCTAAGAGTCACAAATATTTCATAATCATTTTCTTAAAAAAAATTTCATGATTCCTAACATTTCTCAAACAAAATATGGAGAATAGTGGTATGCAAGAGAACTATTTTCACACGATTTGACTCCGCACCATTGAACAGTTTAGTTGAAAACTACAAAGATAGCTCAGAATGTTCTCCAAAGAAAAAAAAAAAAAAAAAAAGGCTCAGAAAATTGAGAGAATGCTTAGATAATTGGTTTGTATGGACCCTTCCTGGTTCAGACCACATGTAAAATTTTTAGAAGTCAACAATGTAACATTTCAATTTATCCAGCAGAAGAGACATATAATGGCCGTATCGCTTTGTTGGAGAGAACCTAGGATTAACTTTACAATGTAACATTTCAATTTATCCAGCAGAAGAGACATATAATGGCCGTATCGCTTTGTTGGAGAGAACCTAGGATTAACTTTTTTGAAAATTCACTCTTAACAAATTCCAACAAAATCTTTACTTTGCTTTGTTGGAGAGAAGAACCTATGATTAACTTTCCTGAAAATTTTCAAAAAAATTCCAACAAAATCTTTACTGCGATCGTAATCCATAAACGATAAAAATTTATCTTTAGTTTATCTTTATCCCAATGAACTTAACAGGAAAAGAGCACCACCAAAACAATATACACCTCAACAAAGACCACCTTAATAGTGTGTTTGGTTGGGAGATTTGGAGAGAGATTTGGAAAGGAAAAGAAAAAAAGTGTGTGAAACTATGTGAAATATATACATATTTTATTCACATTTCACCTACATTTTCCATTTCCCTTTCCAAATCCCTCCTCAAATTCTCCAACCAAACACAGCATAAAGCTCCAAATGGATTACCATCACCTACCACACACTCACCTACTACACTCACCTACCACCACCTACTCCCTACACCTACATCTATATAAGGAATCAATAGAACAATCTTGTAACACACAATCAATACATCAATCAATAATACAATTCTCTATTTCTTTTTATACATTGTATTTTAACAGGAAAGGAAAAGAAAAAAAGTGTGTGAAACTATGTGAAATATATACATATTTTATTCACATTTCACCTACATTTTTCATTTCCCTTTCTAAATCCCTCCTCAAATTCTCCAACCAAACACAGCATAAAGCTCCAAATGGAACTATAAACCAAACCAAGCTGGGATGGTACTACTACCATTCTAAACTTAAAGCACTGCAACCCTGCAAAACAGAGTCTAATACAAGTATTGTGGCAATGGTTGGCAACAATGATATTCCGCCTGATAGAGCAGCAATTGAGTAACAAGAATCAGAATTCCCAACAAAATGATCCCAGTAATTCCAAGAAGACCATCAAAGCAAAAGCACACAAATAAGCTATAATCTCTTAAAACAAAGTAAATCGAACCCAGTTTCAAAGAAATAATGGTAAAAGCAAAAGCAAGTCTTAAGGTTTTTTAAGTCTTAAACCAGAAATGGCAACTAGAAAATTTAAACCAGAAATGGCAACTAGAAAATGTTACTCGGCCAAACAGCTTGAACCTTATGCCATAATTTTTGCAGATCGCACGTAGAGGCTATCCACAACCTTCCCAATATTCGAGATGGTCTCCAGTGTCGCCGGATAGATCGCATCCGGCTTTGGATCTTCAAAGATTATGAGACATCCGGCACCTTGATCCAACGTCCCCGCAAACTTCTTATCAAGGATCATCTGAGACAATTTTTTCTCCACGTGTTCTACAGGGAGTTCAATCAGTTCAGCAATATGAGCAATCTCAACCCTCGAGAACGGCTCGATCAACCTACAAAGGTTCTGCTCCAGCAAAGTATCATACAACGAAGACAAGTGGCGGTGAACAATTGGGTCCTCCTCGAGTTGTGCCTTGAAATCCCGAAGGGCAGTCTCAAAGAGCTTCAGAGAGCGTTGCGCATGAGCGTGTGCAACAGCTTTCATCGCATCAACTTCCGGCCCCTGATATTGCAATCCCACCTTGGCAGATGATAATATTCCTGCCACGTCATCGGCCTGGTTCACCATGATTTTGCACAGCAGCATGTACTTAAGACTATATATTGCTCGAGGATCTTCAAGAGCATTGAAAGCTTCGAATGCCTCATAGATATAGCTGTAAGCGGTTTTATAATCCTTCTCTTCTGCGTGAAGAATCCCGCTCTGCAAATCAATCGTACCCTGCTGATCTGGAGGCACGTAAATAGCATTCGCTGCTGTTCTCGCTGCAGTGAGTGCAGCCTTGGCTTTAGGAAGGTTTCTCAGAGAGAAGTGGAGCTTACTCTCCAATAATTCTATGTCCACAAGGAGTAATTTGTCATCCAATCTTCTGACTTCCTTGATTAGCACAGAAAGAAGGGCTAATGCCTCCGAATATTCCTTGCTTTCCATCAAAAGAGCTGCAAGCCTCGCCTCAACTCTTTGACGAAGGAATGTTCGCTTCTCGGCTCGGGTCCATTGGACCATTTCTTTGCAAAGAGAGATCTGGAGATCTGACGTGCCTGGTATTTTAACTACTGCATCGATTATCCCGCGAACGATTTTTGCAGTTTTCGCCTTGGGGATCAACGAAAAGAAAGGCCTTAGTTGGGTCAGAAGGCTTCTGAGTTCCTCTGCCCTGTTTTGTTCTCTACGAAGATCTGAGAGATTCGAGATGGCCTTTTCTTTTATCCGGAGTGCTTCAGAAGAAGATGAAGGGTTCTCAAGTATGCGGTAAAGGATTGAGATTGCCTCTGTTGGATTTTTGGCTTCTTGAGCCTGATCGAGTGATTCAGTGGTTGCTGGGACATATGACGAAGACATGATCACCTCATATTCCTGCAAATTTGAAATGATTGAACAATTAGGCAACAAACAAACTGAACTAACACGTTATCCCACAAATGATGCAAAACTTAAATGATAGACACAGCTCCCAGGTTAGACAACATAAAATGCGGCTTCGTTAAACCTTCAGAAACGAGTTCCCAAATTAAAAAGATAAATTCAATGTGAGTTACAGATTTTATTTTATTTTTAATCATAAATAAACTGATGGATTAACTGCTCTTACTGTTTTTGATCATACAAAAGTATAGCAACTCTTACTATTGCTATATCCCAAGGGGCAATCCTGATTTCCCAATGAAAGGTAAGCAAATTGAGGAACATCAATAATACAAAAGAATGGTGGGCAAATCAAAGAACTCATACTAATTTCCCATTATTCAGTTTTCCAACATGGGAATGATACTACACTTTGATATGTCTCTGTTAAGACAATCTTCTTGGGGTACTGACCAAACCAAACACACCAGTCACTCCAGCTTTCAACACCAAACTTCTTTTCATTTTTTTTTCAAACACCCCAAAATCTAAGCATTTTATGTCTAATCACAAAAAGCCAGAGAAGTGCCTAGAGATGCCTTTCTTCTAGGAAAGATCAATTTCATGCTTCCCAAACCTTATTGATTGCTAAAACAAATAGTGTTTTAAGTCCTATGTACTCATCACCAAGAAAAGAAGCCTATTCTATATGTTGCCGTCACTTGTAAATGTTTTATAAGGAATCTCAAAAGTGGTTCAACTAAAACAACTTAAGTCTGTCTCATTCATAATCCTATTCATGAAGTAACCAACTCTTCTCTGCAAAAGGCCACATCAGTAAACCGAACCAAATCATTATCTGCAGATGATCCAAAACACATACATAGTATAACAAAATTATTCTTTCACAGCAGGGAAGAGGACCCTGGTGGAAAACCATTTGTGGTACTTCCAATTTTGAGGCGCTTCAGAAAAGCACTGCATAAAACTGCACCTCAATGCATTCATGCATCACTTGAAAGCAACCCAAATGATTGAACTTCTCACATAGTCAAACAACAAAATCATAGGAAAAAAAATTACGAGTTGAACTCATTCTCCATAATTTATCCATCCATTATAACAAATACAACGAAGGACAGCAATAAAACACAGAACAGAATGCAGATGCAACAAAAAATTAACCTCCTAATTTCTTCTATTTTTTTCCTTTATTTTCACAGCAACAAATCACAACATTCCAGAAATAAATAGACCAAATATCTCAAAAGAAAAACTATTAAGATAAGTAATAGTGGATTATACAATTGAGAGGCACAAATATTACTACTAGATCACATGTCATTAACATAGCATTTGTTTGGACCTAAAATATCAGCAAAGGCTTTCCATTTTTCTCGTGTTTGATCCAACTATAAATTGAAGAGAACATTTTCTTGTAGATCTTTTTTCACGCAAGAAAACAACTTGCCAAATTTAAATTCCATAACTTATTTTACACCATTCAAACTCATTCAGAACTTAGTGACTAATAGAACAAGACATGGGAAGACTCCTACCATCTTCTCTGACACCAATGAAATGACCCTTCTAACGAGTGCTCTCTCTCTCTCTCTCTATATATATAATACACTTCAGAGTTAGTTGGTTTCAACTCTTCAAATTGAATTCTAACATCCTAAAATAAGATTTACAACCTCCTCGTACCACTTACAAGTTCAATTTTTGTTCAGATGTTCAGTTCGTGTTTTATATACTCATCAACTGTTTGATGCAACGCTTGGACTAAATATCCTCTTTAAAAATGTGTCTGCCAAGCAAGCAAAAAAATAAAAGGATAATTTTATTTTACCTGTTAAATTTTTTTAATAATGAACTAACTTATTTTGTTGAAAAAATAATGATTCGTCAAACCAAATGGAAGCTAAGTAGATCACTAAACCAAACAAGGGTATCAAAATGAAATCTAATCAATTAATGCCCCAAAATAAACAAGATGCAAAAATTCCAAAACCCACTTTAGTTAAAAGAAGGGGGTTTTGGTCTAGGGTTTCGCAGATTGGCCGAATACTGGTAAACCATACTCATTAGGATTCAATTGAATCAAGCCCTAATTTCATGAATTTATTACGTAATAACTAGTGTAGAAGCTGATTCGAATTTCGGGCAATATAATCAACAACGCAATAAGAGAGGTCACAATTGATAGAAAAGATAAACCCAAAAACTACGAAGGAAGTGAATGCAAAACCCTAGCTTTGTGGCTGAAATTAGGGCTAGAAATCTAGATGTAGAGAGTACCTTAGAGATCGGAGAAGGAATTGAAAGAAATCCACAGTCGAGGGCAGATCAGAACTAGGAGGCGGAGAGAGTTAGATAGAGCTGTATATGTATAGTCTGTATGTAGAGACGAGAGAGAGAGAGAGAAAGAGAGAGAGAGAGATGGCTCAACTCTCACGCAAGTGTTTTTGCTTGTTTGGAATTGCGGCCATTGATGAAGATGATTCACAGATTCTCAAGTCCATCTACGAATCATCTTCATCAAAGGCCGCAATTTCAAACAAGCAAAAACACCTACTTGAGAGTTGAGCCATCTCTCTCTCTCTCTCTCTCTCTCTCTCTCTCTCTCTCTCGTCTCTACATACAGACTATACATACACAGCTCTATCTAACTCTCTCCGCCTCCTAGTTCTGATCTGCCCTCGACTATGGATTTATTTCAATTCCTTCTCCGATCTCTAAGGTACTCTCTACATCTAGATTTCTAGCCCTAATTTCAACCACAAAGCTAGGGTTTTGCATTCACTTCCTTCGAAGTTTTTGGGTTTATCTTTTCTATCGATTGTGACCTCTCTTATTGTGTTGTTGATTATATTGCTCGAAGTTTGAATCGGCTACTACACTAGTTATTACGTAATAAATTCATGAAATTAGGGCTTGATTCAATTGAATCCTAATGAGCATGGTTTACCTGTATTCGGCCAATCTGCAAAACCCTAGACCAAAACCCCCTTCTTTTAACTAAAGTGGGGTTTTGGGATTTTTGCATCTTGTTTATTTTGGGGCGTTAATTGACAAGATTTCATTTTGATACTCTTGTTTGGTTTAGTGATCTACTTAGCTTCCATTTGGTTTGACGAATCATTATTTTTTCAACAAAATAAGTTTTTTGGGTGAATAAATAAAAAAATTTAAGTTAGTTCATAAAAAAATAAGTTAGTTCATTATGAAAAAAAATTTAACAGGTAAAATAAAATTATCCTTTTATTTTTTTGCTTGCTTGGCAGACACATTTTTAAAGAGGATATTTAGTCCAAGCATTGCATCAAATAGTTATGGTTCGTTTCAAGAATCTAATGGTTAGATTATTGGAACTCGCATTATCAATAGTTAAGGTAAAAAAGCCATCAATGTCCCACTCTTTTAAGAGTGCCTCAATTTTTTTACTAAGAGTTTCTGCTTTGTGGTCTTTAACTTAACAAAAATTTATGATCATCTTTTGTAACTTCCAATCATCATCAATGAAATGTGCAGTTAGACACATATAACATAAATTTTGTATAGAAGTCCATGTGTCTGTGGTAAAGAAAATTCTACGCCCCTTCACAATTTTCTTCAGCTTCTCCCTTTCATTGGTGTATATGTCTACAATGTCCCTAGCAATGGTATATCGAGATAGGATCTTAAACTTGGATTGCATGACATTACAAAACCTCTTAAAACCAATCCCCTCAACAAATCTAAAAGGCAATTCATCAATTACTATCATCTCGGCAAGATACCTCCTAGCAACTTCGGTAGAAAATGACGTAGCCACAACATTAACAACACCCTCCCCACCAACTTCTCTAGGTTGAAACCCCAATGTTTGTTGCCCATGAGTATCCCTATATGGATACTTTGTACAATTTTTTAAATGACTTAACAAATTACTTATTCCATGACTCTTAGATCCTGCCATATATTCTTTCTTACAATACTTGCACATAGTCCTATCTTTCCCATCAATACCCTTAATCTTTTCAAAATGATCCCAAGCCTGTGACGTTGTTCTCCCACTATTACTAGTTTTGGCCAGGGGTGGTCTACGAGGGAGAGCATTAGGTTGGGTAGAGGGGTCAACAGAAGATGATTCGGGCTCAACATTAAGAGTCACAAAACATATTTCTTCACTTGAAGGATCCATGACCAAAAGATTATCAAATATACTGCCAAAAACAAATAAAAAAATCATTCAAAATATGCATTTTAAATCCATGGTCTGTTTTTCCTTATGATTTCAAACAAGATGAACAAATTCCAGAATGGTTTTTAAGTCCCAGAATGGTTTTTCCTTATGATTATCAAATATGCTTAGTAGAATACATGAACAACTAAATCAATTCGCAGAATTTCCAGAACAACTACATGAACAAATACATATATGAACAACTAAATCAATTCCCAGAAATACAAGAGATGACAAAAAAATCATATATGAATTCATAAACACCAAGAGATGACAAAAAAATCATTCAGTTACTCCAAAGCATTCAATACAAGTCCCAAAAATACAAAACCCAAATAGAATCAACCAAACAAATTATTATCAAAGTTATAAAACTAAGCAAACAAACAAGAAAACAGGGTTGAATATCTCTATGGAAGTAACATGAATCACTTTCACACTATAACAGAATCAATAAAACACTTTGTAACAAATGGGTTGTGCTAAATAATTACTAGAATTTCTTTATAAGCAAACAAATTGAAGACAGTGGGATTACATTACATTACCTCAAATTCAAGACAGTAGTAACTGATTTACACAAATCTTTATATTTAAAAAAAAAAAAAAAATCAAAAGTTTCTCAATGGCATTACATTACCTCAAATCAAACAGTAACTTTCGTATGAAGTTGAAGCTGATAGACAGAGAGAGAGGAAAACCCAAACCCAGTTCAAGATTACATCAATGGCAGCATTAGAACTGCAACAAAATTGCAACAAAACAAAAAATAGATTTTTGGTTAGACAGATTATCGAATATCAACAAACAAGTGCAGGGAAAAAAAATTGAAAACAGATTAAGCTTTCAGTCGAAGAACTGGAACTAAAAAAAAAAAAAAAAATCAGATTAGAGATTGAGGAGAAGAATAGAAGAAGAAGAGGAAAGAAGATTATCGAATATAAAATTACAAAACAAGAGCAGGAAAAAAAATTGAAAAACAAATCAAGGTTTCAGTCGAAGAACTAGAATGGAACCCAAAAAAAAATAAAATAAATAAGATTAGAGATTGAGGAGAAGAATAGAAGAAGAAGAGGAAAGAAGATCTCACCACCACCACAACGATCGCCGATCCTCTCTCAGTCGAAGAATGGGTTAGGGTTAAGGTTTCAGTCGAAGAAAAGGGCGTAAAAATAAAAAAATAAAAAACAACTCAGATCGTCGGTCGGAAAGAAGATCGCCGATCGACTTTAGAGATCGTCGGTCGTCGCCGTCTATCGTTAGGGTTTCGGAGGGGGGAAGAAGAAAGAGAGAGAAGAGAGTGAGTCTGTCGGTGTGTTGTGTATCTCTTGAATCAAAGAAGACGAATGGCTCATTGGCTTTAGCCTTTAGGTAATGGGGGGTTAAAAAAAATAAATAAAATAAAAAAAACGGAGGCAATACGGGTGGGATGGGTTTCACGGGTGTAATGGCGAATCAACCACCACCCGATCCGAACCCGCAAAACTCAGAAAATGGGTCCGCATCCGCCCGTCACATGTCACGCATCCATCAAAATGCGAGCAGGGCGGGGCGGTCAGGTCTGGCGGGGCGGGCAATCCGCTGCACAGCCCTAGTGGATCTCCTCTACTATTTAGTAGGGATGGCAATCTGAAACCGGCCCGATGGGGACCCGACCCCCCGATCCCGAATATAAGCAAAACTCAGAAAATGGGTCCGCATCCGCCCGTCACGTGTCACGCATCCATCAAAATACGAGCAGGGCGGGGCGGTCGGGTCTGGCGGGCGGGCAATCCGCTGCACAGCCCTAGTGGATCTCCTCTACTATTTAGACTTGCCAATTGATTTTTATGAATTTGTGTGTTTGATTGGAGTTTTTTGAATTAAGTTTTTTGAAAATTAAATTTTTTATGTTTTTTTGTTTTTAGTGAATATTTTTAAAATTTTAAACATTTTTTTGTTTTTTTAGATACACCTTATTTAGATGTATATAAAAAGTAAAAAATTTGTAAAAAAATATTTTAAGAAATTAATAAATACATAAAAATACGAAAAATATATTGAATTATAGTATTTTTTATTTTTGGTATTTAATGAATTTTTAAAAGATTTTTTTTACAAAAATTATACTTTTATGAGTATTTATGTTAGGTGTGTCTAAAAATTAAAAAAATTTCTTAAAATATTAAAAAAATTGGTAAAAACAAAAAAAATACGAAAAACAAAAAAAGTAGAATTTTTTAGAAAGTGTTTTTGGAAAACCAAAAACAAGCAAAGTGTTTTAATTTTTATAAAAAGTTATAATAAGGGGTGTTTTGGGAACTTATAAAAAAATTAATTTTTTGGCAATTTTTTGGCTTTTTAATTTTTTTACAGAAAAAATCAGAAAAAAGTTAGCTTTTTAACACAAAAATTTCAAAAAAAATCAGCTTTTTATCAACGTCCCAAAACACTATTAAATAAAAGAGTAAAGTGAATGAGTTGATTTTTGTAATAATAATATAATTTTTTTTAACTAATTTAATGATTTTTGACTTGTTTTAATTAAAATAAAAAGTTAAAAAATCATTCTGTTTGAATTTGTAATTTTTAAAAATAATTTTTGAGTTTTTTATTTCTATTTTTGAATTTTTAAAAAAATGTTTTAATCTCTTTGTTAATAATATTTAATTTTTAGATCTACTTAATTTAGATACACTTAAAAATTTTAAAATTGGTAAAAAAAAATTAAAATTTTCATCAAATGCAACAAAATATAAAATTTTAATTTTGTATTTATTGAATTATTTTAAATTTTTTCATAAATATTTATTTTTTAAATACATTCAAATTAAGTGCATCTAAAAATAAAATAAAAAATCATCAAAATCTGAATAAAGTTCACTATAAATAATAAAACACACATTTATTTTGGAAAATTCAAAAACCAAATAGAAGAATGCTTAGAAAAGTTTTTAAGCTTTTGATGAATGTTAAATGTTTATTATTTTTTTTCTTAGATTTAAATACTTAATAGACCATCTATAAAAAAATGTGTTACTTAAAAAGTTTTTTTTTTTTTTTTCCGTATAACTCAAAATTTTATTTTACTTATTTTAATAACTTTTAAATTTTTTTAACTAAAATAATGCCAAACCATACGGGCCCTTGAGACTCTAGAACAATGGAGTTGCACGAGGACAGAATCACCGGCCCATTTTGTTCGCCAAAAGTCCAAACCGGGTTTGCTAACTTTTTTTTTATAATTACAAATAAAAAATTATTTGATAAATTACATTTTGTCTCCTTAAAGTCTCATTCATTTCTTATTTTGGCCCTTTATGTTTACAATCCTTCCGATTTTGATTCTTCATGTTTGCAATTCTTCTCACTTTAGTACTTTAATTTTGATTTTTCCCACTTTGGTTCTTTATGATTGTAATTCTTCCCACTTTAGCACATTTGTCAACAAAATGATCCCAGTAATTCCAATTCTCAATTGGTATCTAAAAAAACCAGATGAGTACTCACTTCTATCAATATAATATAATATGAATAACAATAAACAAAATGATCCCAGTAATTCTCAATTGACAGACGTTCTCACAAGTTGTTGACAGACGTGCTTAGCTTCCAACAAAATGATTCCAGTAATTCGAAGAAGACTATCAAAGCAAAAGCACACAAATAAGCTATAATCTCTTAAAACAAAGTAAATCGAACCTAGTTTCAAAGAAATAATCAACTTGTTTGGTTCTATTTTTTCAAAAATACTTTTTAGAAAATTCTATTTTCTTATTTTTCGTATTTTTTTGTTTTTACTGAATTTTTTAAATATTTTAAGTAATTTTTTTATTTTTTAGACACACATAACATAAATACACCTAAAAAGTAAAAAAAAATTATAAAAAAAATCTTTTAAAAATTCACTAAATACCAAAAATACAAAAAAAAAATATAAGAATGTAGTACATTTTTTTGTATTTTTATGTTTTTATTAATTTTTTAAAATATTTTTTCATAATTTTTTTATTTTTTAGATACATCTAAGTAAGGTGCATCTAAAAAAGTAAAAAAAATGTTTAAAATTTTAAAAATAGTCACTAAAAATAAAAAAACATAAAAATCAAAAAATTCAATTTAAAAAAAACTTAATCCAGAAAACTCAAACCAAACGCACTGAATGGTAAAAGCAAAAGCTTGAACCTTATGCCATAATTTTGCAGATCGCACGTAGAGGCTATCCACAACCTTCCCAATATTCGAGATGGTCTCCAGTGTCGCCAGATAGATCGCATCCGGCTTTGGATCTTCAAAGATTATGAGACACCTGGCACCTTGATCCAACGTCCCCGCAAACTTCTTATCAAGGATCATCTGAGATAATTTTTTCTCCACGTGTTCTACAGGGAGTTCAATCAGTTCAGCAATATGAGCAATCTCAACCCTCGAGAACGGCTGGATCAACCTACAAAGGTTATGCTCCAGCAAAGTATCATACAACGAAGACAAGTGGCGGTGAACAATTGGGTCCTCCTCAAGCTGTGCCTTGAAATTCCGAAGGGCAGTCTCAAAGAGCTTCAGAGAGCGTTGCGCATGAGTGTGTGCAACAGCTTTCATCGCATCAACTTCCTGCCCCTGATATTGCAATCCCACCTTGGCAGACGATAATATTCTTGATTTAACCAAGTATATAAACATTTGATTTAAATTATTCATAACTCATGAACCACCCATGAACACTAGTCCCACAATTTCATTTCCTAATGCATGTTATTCCAATTAATTTCCACATTTATTTGTCCTCACACGAATGGCAAGTGGGCACCTCAACCTTCCACATTCATCGTCCTCATATAATCAGTATGTGGACACCTCAAGCATTTCTGTATTTATCGTCCTCGCACGATCGGGCAAGTGGGAACCTCAATTTTCCCGCAAGGGTAATACCATATCACACATCAAACAATTACCCCAAACTCTAATTTTATCTCAGTGCATTCCCAATTCACCCATTGATTTCCATCTATTTATCAACCAAGACCCATGAATAATGATTAGGGTTTCACAAGCAATTGGGCTTTTCTTTCTGCTCTTTCATTTTCCATGATTCATAATGTATACATTATTTTTCATTAAGAGATAACCATTTATTTCAAAAATTTAAGGCAAAAACCATTACTCACCATCAATGCCCATGTATCAATCACCCATCCCACATCACCCACATATCATGAAATAAACACATAATCAAACCAAAAACATAGATATACAAGGTTAAAGATATTCCTACCTTAAGATTATGTGTAGAGAGATGAAAACCCAACAAATGAACTTCTGAGATATCACAATCCAATTGGTTCAAAATGTAGCTCTCAACAAGATCAACACTTTTGATGAAGGAACAAGGATGGGTTCTTGTTATAAATAGATGAAATGTTTTTTGGTATTAGGGTTTTCGGAATAGAAGAGTGAGAAAAAGAAAAGATGGAAAAAGTGAGAGAAATGTGTCAAAAAGTGAGTTTTAAAATATCTGACCCCAAACAGATCGCTCGAGTGAACGTTCCATTGCTCGAGCGATTAAGAGATTTGAACGTACCACTCGAGTGGTAAACACAAAGTCCAAGAAGTTTTGTAATTCTATAGTGAAATTGTTAAAAGCCTCACATCTCCACTCAAGTGACCACTTGACCGCTCAAGCAGTCTCACTTGTAAACAAGTAAGGTACTAGAAGTCTTGACTTACCGCCTGAGCAACCACTTGACTACTCGAGTAGTCTCTCAAAATAGAATATTACAAAACCTCTACATAGAGAGGCATTACCAATCACCTTCACGATCCATCATTGTCACAACTGGTAGCTATGGTGCCTCTGCATTACAAGAGAAAATTTTCTAGATCTGAGGTAGTTGCTAGTGTAAAAAAGCGTATTTAGCAATGTTGAATCTCGATCAAGAATCAGATCTGAGTAAAGATTTGAAAGCTTTCTCGGTGGCAAACTGATGATGGAGACGATAGGAGCAATAGTGGCTAGCATGACGATAAACAAGAAAAAAAATAGGATAAACTACAAGAGAAGAAACAAAGGGAAGATAATGGCTAGAAGCACACCCTCTCCTCTGTAAAGAACAGAGAAAGAGGGAGATAGGCTAAGTTTTTTAGAGGCCTAGCACATCAATTAGTAAGCAAAATTTAAACAATTTGTTGGTTTGTGTAATAAATTTTTTTTTTCTTTGAATATTAAAGATAAATTTGAAATTTCATTTATAAGGAGGTGAAATCAGTTTAACAATTGGAGAAAAAGGAAAGGAATAATGCTATATAGAAACTATTTTTATTATAAAACACACATTAGTAAGATTTGTTAGCTTATAAAATATTTTCCAAACAGAATATAGAAAGCAAATAATAATAATAATAATAATAATAATAATAATAATAATAATAATCTATCTATCAATCTATTTATACTATTATAAAGAGAAACCTAAAATTACTATTTATATCTTATTTTTTAGTTTTTTTAAAAAATACCCTAATAGGCAGTTATGTCTTACGCTAAGTTAGATTTTTTTTTTTTTTTTTCTTTCGCTAATTACATGGGCACTTTTGAATTTAATTTTTATTTTTTCAAATTTCTCATCTGTTAATGTTTTTAAATTTATAAAATATTTTAATTTTTGAATTTTAAATTTAACCAGACCAATCAATCAAATATTGATTAATACATAATGGATCAACTCGCAATGTTATTTGTTTTGGGAGAAGCTTCTCTCCAATTAGAAAAATCAATTAGAGAGTGTTGTTGAGCCTTCGTGGGCCTACCATAAAACTTGCATCAATGATTCAAATCGTTCAATATATAATTTTCGTCAAGTACTTTAACCTTACAAAAATTACATTGATCAGATATCGATAGTCACTTGATCAAGTTTGTGTTAATAATTTATTTTTAAAATTATATTTATCATTGATACAAATATATTCTGATCAATTAATTATCGATACCTAATGAATATAATTTTTTATAAGAATAAAATAATTAATAAATCTTGCATATTAACAGTTTCAAGTCATGAATGAAGGCTACGTGACGAACACACAAAGGGCTAACAACACCTAGTAATCCGATATGGATCTTAAAGAAGCCATCCTTTATTTTTCTTTTTGTTATCCGCTTTAAACGTGGCCTCAACACTCACACGTGCGAAATCCGACCGTTGCCTTGCCGCGTTCACATAACATAACCACCTGATCACACACACAGACTAAATCGAAAACCAAATCAAATCTTAGTACTTTCCAAATCTGTAAGTATTTCCTTTCCCAAATCACAAACCCCATATCTTTCTATACCCAAAATCTTTCCTTACTACCTAATATCTACTCTCTCTCTCTCTCTCTCTCTCTCTCTCTCTCTCTATATATATATATATATACCCAAAGCTCCATACGACTTCACTTCTCACTCTAAAACCTCCCACTCTCTCTGAATCTGAAGTTTCTGGGATTGCTCTCACACAAGAAAGAAGGTGTTTGGGCAATATTGTTCGGCATGGACAGGTACCTTCATACATTATATATGTGTTGTTATTTTTTAATCTAATATATGCCTTCTAATTGTCTTTTTTTGATTTCGTTTGGCTAATTGTCAATTCAGAGCGCTACATGATTTCTCAAAATTGAAGCTAACAATCAGGATTCTTTGTACGCAAAGACAATTATAAAATTGTCTTTGTTTTTTCTTTCAATTAAAAAGGTTTCTTCTGTTGAAAAAAAAGAACAGAGAGCTATATATGAGATGAATACACACAAGAACCAACTTATGGGGCAAAATTAGTGCAAAAATACCTTTGTGGTTCACGCAAATTAGTAGTTGGCTTGTGAAAATTGATGTCCTATCTCTCATGTAGTTGAAACATCAGGATTCTTTTTTCTTTCTTTCTCTCTTTCTTTTTTCAGTGAATTGTTGATTTAAGAAGATTTTGCTGAACTGAATTTGTTTAATTAGAGGAATTTATCAATCAAGAGTCCGTTTCGATGGATGGATTTCAAAATCAAGGGATTTCAGAGTGAATTTTATGAAAATATTGGAGACTAGGCCATTATAAGTAGATAGAAACACTATAATAGAGATCTATTTGGGTAAGATTCTTGTAGCTCATGATTTCAGATAACTAATTTTATGTAATTATTTCAAATTCATCCTGACGAAACTATTTAATTCAATCTTGAAGTTGAAACCCCTAAATAAATTATCAAATCTAAATTTGAAATATTCTCCTTGAATGTTTAAGCCAAATTCATGTATTTTAAATCCGTAAATATAAACGGAACCTTAGCCAAAATGTCCGATCACGGACTGGAGGGAAGCCGGAGCCCCTATTGGGAAATCCATATATTTGCGCTTTCCCTAGACTTTTGAAGTCTTCATTACAGTCTCAGCCAGATGCTTCCTATCTGTTGCTTATACTTTCACTAGGATTTCATAATAGTAGCACTTAGTAATACAGTGTCCTGCTTTCTTTTTCTTTTCTATTTACTTTGTAAAGTTCTAGCTTATCTTTTGATCGGTTATTCTAATATGTTTGAAAGCAGGGACAGCATACAACTGAGTGAAATATTTCATGAATTGTGGCAGAACTATCCCCACTATTTTCTCCCTGACACAAGGGTCCAAGATTCTCGATCTCGACATCATGATGGTATCAGAGCAACCAATCACAACTTTCACCATATGCCAAATAATGACCATATATCTATACCCAATGAGCCTCATTACTATAATGTGCACAATGCTCGACCTATTTCAAATCTTTTGGGCGGTGCAGATGCTTCCAACTTCTACAACCATCGCTTCATTCCCTCATCTAATAGCACATCACATTATGGTCCACAAAGTCATGGTCACCATTTAGTTCAAGAAAGCTATATAGATTTCCACTTCCAACCAGCCACACACTACTCAGTGGAACTACATGTTGTGTACCCTGAAACTGCATCTTTTTCACATTGTAATTTCTTCTCTCTTCTCTTCTATAGGAAACCAATTTCTACTTAAATTCATAGCACTTTTGGAACCTTTTTTTTTTTTTTTTTTTTCTATTTTATAAATAAAGCAATAAAGTTACGAGAGGTTGCAAGAATTAAAAAAGAATATTGGGGTGAGGAAGAGACGCAAAATTTTTAATTTAAATTTGATTCATATCTCTTCCACTCTTTCTTGAGTTCCATGTTTGATCTGATATCCAATTATCAAGGATTAGGATTGTGAAAGCAGACTTGATGAATATAATATTTGGCTACTTTACAGGGAATAATTACGAATTGGATCCACATCAACCACTGCCTCATATGCAAGCAATGAGAGGAAACAATTTGGACCTCCAACCTCAAGTACCATCATCTTCAAACAGGCATCAAATGAACAACAACCCACGACAACATAACTCTTCAAATTCTTCCAGGGGTAGTCATGATGATGGGTATAGAAACTTTGGACCCTCAACGCGCCAGGACAATTCAATTGTCACCTTTGACCGCTTTGCAATTCAATTAGTTGATGTAAGCTCTCTCTCCCTCTCTGCTGTTACATTTTGACGTTTCTTTTTCGTCAAGCATTCTGAAGAAGATTATATATATTATTTATGGTCAAGTTTATTTCTTCATTTGAAAATGGAACTAATATTCCCCCAAAATGTCTGTAGGGTGTGATATTACTAGAGGGTGTCGCTGATTCAGATGTCTCCAACATGAGGTTGGAGGGTGAAGAAGACATGTCATATGAGGTATCAAGTTATCATTTCCTTTGTGAAATTGGTCTCTACACTGCACTTGTAAAATACTTGATTCATTATTTGAACTCTTTGCTGTCATACATGAGTCTCAAGAGATCGACAATTTATTCATTTTAGATTAGATATTGTTTTTAAAAAATTAATAGAAAATGCATCTGCAGGAGCTACTTGATCTTGAAGAACAAATGGGTCACATTAACACCGGTTTGTCTGAGGAAACAATCATAAGGAATCTGAAGGTGAGAACACATATTTCATCTGTAAGACAATTAAATTTAAATAAAGTCCCAAGCTTGGATCAAGAACCTGAAATCTGCGCTATATGTCAGGTATGCAATACTCTCAGATTATATGGTTTTGGTGTTTTGATATCTTAATCAATCGTTGGGTTAACAAAATGGTTGTGCAATTTGGCAGGGTGAGTATGAAAACTATGACACAATTGGGAGTCTGGACTGTAGACATGATTACCATGCTGTCTGCATAAAGAAGTGGCTGCAGGAAAAGAATATTTGCCCTCTCTGCAAATCTACAGCTTTGACGATAAAGAGCTAGAAATTTTAGACAAGTGAATGTTGGAGATGCGCTTTCATTACCTTCATTTATTTTAGTAATCCATATGTTCCAAAGAGATCATTTATTTTATAATCTTTGTGCTTTGCTCAATATCTTTATGTTCACTTGTACTATTTTCATAGATGGGAATGGTGGAATAGTATATCTTACATGTGTACATATGTTGTCCGTATGATATTATTGACTAGAATTATATTTCAAATTTCAAAATTTAATCCTTGTATGACACATATTAGTTGAAGTGTGTATAGCATTTTCCAAGCCAAAAATATATTTTAAGTCAAACGCGGTATTAACCCTTCTTTTTTTTTAAACAACAAAAAATAACTTTTATTGATGAAATAACCATACAAATACAAAGCTTAACAATCCCAACTAAGTTGACACCGAAAAGCAAGCCTAATCACGTGACAGCACCATCCACAGTTGGTGAGAAACCAACCCAAACAAAAACAGAACCAAGACCACAAAAAGGCAACCCCTAGCAGCAGCAAAGTACCCACCGTCCACGAACCAAAACAGCTACAAGCTTTCAAATCTTAAGCATTAGCTTTTTAAACTTAGCACCCCCAACCACCAATGGAGTAGTCCCTCCACAGCAGCAGGTGTCACCCATAATAAACCTGACCACGCCTTCCAAATCACCAGGCAGAGCAGAAAAACATGGTTCACATCTTCTATTCTTACAAAAGGGGCACAAGTCTATCCCACTACTGCTCAGAACCCCAATACTCTGTAGATAACCTGCAGTTTTCACCCTCCCTCTCCATGCCAATACTCAGTAGATAACCTTCATTTTTTTTCTCACTAGCCTAGGTCAGTACATAACTGCATATAACTAACTTTGACCAAAATATGTAAAGCCGATAAATCAGAACCCCAGAGGTATAATGCAAGAATTCATCAACAATTTTCATGGCCCAGAAAAAACAATTAATTGATCAATCAATCAAGTACACCAAAAGTCACATTATCTTAATACATTTCCAAATCCCAACCCTAAGCAATCAAAGATAAACTAACCTACAGCGTAGCTAAGAACTGAATAATACACAAAGGAAGAACAAGAAAAAAGATTGAAATAAGAGGAAGCCAAAGAATGCAAAGAAAATACTAGAATCCTGACCCTATGGGCTTTGGTTAAGCTAAAAGTTCAATGTAGCGTCAAGATATACGCCATAAAAATGAAAGTTTTGGGAGTCTCAACATTGTATGCTAGTAAAATTGACATATTCAAACATGTTCCACAATCGTATAGAAATTGGATCTTCTTTGGGGAAGATGACAAAAAAACATAGCAGACTGTATTGTTCTATTCTTTTGGACTATGCTGAGCAGCATCCAACTTTCTTGACAGCCGATACGTCATCCTTGCCACCAACATTAATGGTTTGTCCCTTGGGCAAAGCTGCCGGGTCATCCCCAATGTCCAGAGCCGTCCTGCTGACAACATGATATATTTGAGTGAGTACTTCTGTGAAGGCATTTTCCACATTCATAGACTCCAGAGCAGAGGTCTCCATGAAAAACGTGTTCTCTCTTTCAGCAAATGCCTTGGCATCCTCGGTGGAAACAGCCCTCAAATGACGCAAATCTGCCTTGTTTCCCACAAGCATAATGACAATGTTGGAGTCTGTGTGATCCCGAAGCTCCTTCAACCATCTCTCTACATTTTCAAACGTGACATGTCGAGTGACATCATAAACAAGCAATGCACCAACAGCTCCTCGATAGTATGCACTTGTGATTGCACGGTATCTTCAAGAAAGAGTACAAAATGAGACATGGATTCAATCTTAAAAGTAACACAATGTAGTCAAAATTCTTTGTTCATCAATCAGGCAAACAGCACCAAATGGAATTATACAGAAAGATGTTTTACAAATCAAGATAGCTAACTTAATACCAGACGGCACACAGCTAGTTTCCAAACCAAAGGGAAATAAATAAGGCTCCAATCTAATGGCAGGAACAAATAAGATGAGATTGAAACTTGAAAGTAACACAATGTAGTCAAAATTCTTTGTTCATCAATCAGGCAAACAGCACCAAATGGAATTATACAGAAAGATGTTTTACAAATCAAGATAGCTAACTTAACACCAGACGGCACACAGCTAGTTTCCAAACCAAAGGGAAATAAATAAGGCTCCAATCTAATGGCAGGAACAAATAAGATGAGATTGAAACTTGAAACGCACTAAAAATTCAGTCTGTTGCTTGCCTACCCAAATATGTGAATTGTATAGCAAGCAATCAAAATTTAAAGAAACTACGCTCACATCAAATCATCACCTCAAGTAACCTATATCCAAAGAGGATAGACTCACTGGGGTACACTCCTCCAAACATTCTTCGCCTCTAGCTCAGTTCGAAAGCAATACAAAATCCTCCAATGCCAATGTTGGAACAGCCGTTTTGAAAATTCAAGCTTCCCCCTTCAGCCCACTCATGTCCCCAACAATTAATATCAAGCAAAAGTGGAGCAATGGTAGACGAGATTCATTGGGTATGTGGATTTAATTGATTCAACTCATCTTTATCATAAAAAATATAAAATATTTATCACAGTAGTTTATTTAACATATCAGTACAGTAGATAGTCAGCAGACTTGTAAGGTAGTGATTTGGCAAGCATAGATAATTAACATACTGTATGTTAATTACAGCAAAAAGTGAACCGAGGTGACAAGACCTCCTAAGGTGTATGCCTAAGGCAAAAGCTTCATTGAATCAAGGGGAACACTAAAAAAGTAATTTCCAAAAAACTTATATTGAACACAAATGATGAAATTTAATTGCCTCAGTCTGAGGCAAAGGCCCTCCATCTTGGCCTCAGCTCACTGAAGTTGCGTTGGAATCTTGGGGCACAGAAGCTTTGAGTCACTTCTTCCCCAAGCATTTGCTTAGGGACACTTTTCACAATAATGAACATGCATAGAACACAAACCATGCCAATCAAGTATAGACAACAAGAAAAGACAGGGATTTTGATTGAAATATTTTCAAAAGAATCTCAGGACATGTTTGTTTGGCACCACAGATGAAGGGGTTGGATAAGTAATCCGGCGGGCCCTACGTAAATCATGTTTGGTTGGCAAAAATGGAATGGGACTATGAATGCCCCCACATGGTATATCCCATGGAAGGGATGGGATTGCCATGGGATTGGGTGTGACAAGAACATTTCGCCCCCACTTTATAAAAACAAGTCACCTTTTATACAATGAAAACTTTTACGTAATTTCATAAATTAACACACTAACAAACATATTTTATCTTATATCTCAAACATAATAACACTACTGTATTCATAATCTCATCAAATCTAAATAAACGGAGCCTAAATGCATTTATAAGATTCTGTTAAAAAGCACATGAGGAATATAGAAACCAACACTCAACTAAGCCAGCCAAGTACACCAAATTAACTTAACCAAAGTGAAAATTTCATTTCAGTAAACCAAACACAACACAAAAACATATACTATAATAAGAAAGTAAAATAATCTATGATTTTCCTTAGTTTTCTCAGTAACCAAACAAAGGATGAAAACACACACACCAGATTTGATAGGGTATGGCAACGCATCAATGACGACTTTATCAAGCAAAAACCATACAAAAGAAAAATCAACATTTGATTTAGTTTATTACAAATATGATCGATCAATAAAACCAATTTCCAATCGAAATAGGCTCGGATTGTAGGATTTTTGATGCATGATATTTATGTAGAGATACATGTATGAATAAATGAAAATGGAAGGAAAGAGGGGTTTAGATCTGTACCTTTCTTGGCCAGCGGTGTCCCAAATCTGGGCCTTGACGACCTTGTCGTCGACGTGAATGCTTCGAGTGGCGAATTCGACGCCGATTGTGGACTTGGACTCCAGACTGAACTCATTCCTCGTGAATCTAGAGAGCAGGTTTGATTTTCCGACTCCAGAATCGCCGATTAGAACCACTTTGAACAAGTAATCGTAATCGTCGTCTGCTCTGTACGCCCCCATTCGCCTTCAATCAATTTTATATATGTTTGTATGTATGTATGAATGTATATATATACAGATATAAGGAGAGAAGAAGCAGGAGTTTGCAGATCAAAATGCGAGATTGATTTGCGATCTATCTTTAGATTTTGTAGGACACAGATCTAAAAAAACAAAAAGAAGGAAGGAGAGAGAGAGAGCACCGTTATACATGAAAGTATTGAAGAGAGAGAGAGGGAGATGTATTCAAAGCTTGTAAAACAGAACAGAGATTGTGTAAGATGTGAACATATTAATTAATATATTAAAATATTTTAAATTGTTAGGAAAAATCATAGGAGTGTGGGCAGCGCCGAGCGCGTTCGGAATTTAACCATTTCACGAGGAATTCAAAGTTGTACAAACTCCCGTCTAGAATCAATTTTATAAAATATAATAATTTATTATGTAATGAAAGTCTAAAAATTAAAATAAAACCACTTTAATGATATATTTATGAATAAATTACATTGATATTTTTTGAGATTTAAACAAAATATAGTAAGGTCTCATTTGACAAATAATTTTTTTAATTAAAAAGTTAAAAAGTCACTAAAAAAAATCAAAAAGCCAACAATCTATACAAAAAAGTTAAAGATTCTATTTTCTCTCTACTTTTTGCACATCTTTTCATAAAAAGTCAAAAGTCATCTCAAACATACTAATTTTTTTTACATCATATTTTAGTCAAAAAGTCAAAAAGTTACTAAAAAAATATGTTCCCAAACGAGGCCTTAATATTAGTAGGATCAAAAATTCAAAAAATTAAATTTTATTTTTCATAATAAATAATAGTGAAACATTACTAAGCTTAGATCTTAAAAGTTCATTTAAATAAATGTAGGTTTGAAATTAACAGATTTGAGGTTAATTTTATAAAAATATTGGCAAGTAACTATTTTAGGTGCATTGAAAATTATAAAATAATAAAAAAAAAAGAGTCGAGATAGAAATGATATATTTTAGTAAAAAATTCTATAAAACAACATTTGACTTTTGTTCAAAAATTTAGGGTTGATTTGGCGTGTCCTAAAAAAGTACACTTTTTGTCTTTTTACGAAAAGATGTGCAGAAAAGTAGAGAGGTGATGTGATAGAAAAAAAATAAAAAGATAAAAAGATGGATTATATAGTCTATGTCAAACCAGCCCTTAATTATGACAAATTTTGGTGTTCCAATTTGGATAGATAAGCAAAAATAATATGACAGATAGATTCAATTTGGCCATATAAGAAAAAATAGTACATATATATTAAAAGAATTTCAATAGATAGATTAAAAAAATATTAAAATAATTTGGACAGATAGATTAAAAATATTAAAACAATTTTGACAGATAGATTAAAAGTATTTAAAAAAATTTAAGGTTAAAAAATAATTTGTACAAATAGATTACTTTTGGTGGATAGGTGTAAAAATAATTTAGATAAATAGGTTAAAAATTGAATAAATATGTTAAAAATATTGTGAAAGATAGGGTAAAATAATTTGGATAAATAGGCTTAAAAAATTGAAGAGATAGATAAATTTGTAAAGATAGATGGTATTTATGGACTAAATTTCTTAAAATCGTTAGCACATGGACTTTTGACCAACAAATGTCATTATGTCCCCCAATAGAACCACCATTGCCATTAATGACTTATACGAGCTGAAATATGAATTTATCTAGGATTTTCTCAATAAAAAAATAGGTTTAAAGCTAAGAAAATTATAGAGGCATCTCTTCTGCAAACAACAATTTGTTTGGTAATTAAAATTCCTAAAATTTCAAACTCCAGGAAAATAAAGAAATATTTTAATTTAAAAGACAATAATAATCTTACAACACTAAAACTTCTTTTTAAAAACTCTCTGTATCTCCATCATTCTCTTTGATTATTATTTTTTCTCTTATCTCCCTTCAACATGCTTAAGATCTAGAAGTCGTTATTGGCTTTATTCGCCATCAACATCACCATCACTATCTCCGTGATCAATCATAGCCATCATTTTCTACTACTATTGTCACCATCTGTTACCACTACTATCTGCTATCATCATCATCAATCATAGCCAACGTATGCACCTCCATTGCCACTGCTTGTCACACCACCACTGCCACCATCCCTCAACAATCATTATATTCATATCTTCATCGAGTTCATTTGTCACAACAAAATTTCTTGCATAATCTTCATCAATTTGTATATTTTTATCTATTCTTCTTTCCTTTTTCCTTCATTCTTCTCTTTCTCTTTCTACTATTCTTCTCTATTCTCTATATTGCACAATAAAATTTTGAGAGACAACATGTAAAACTTTACTTAAAATTCACAATATTAGAACACTTAATTTGAATTTTTAATATATAAATTTGAAATTAGTGACCTAATTTTTGTAGTTGATTCTCAAATTTACAAACTTTTATTTTGTAACAGAAATTTTTCTAAGTTTAGACAGTGAAATTTTCACTGCAAAAGTTAGTGAAATTTCATAATTTTTTTTTATAAAGATTTTACATTGTTTATGGATCTTATTTGATAAATTTTGATGAGATATGATAATAAAAATATAAATTTGACAAAAAAATATAATTATAAATAAAGAGTTATTAAATTTTAAATTTTCAAATCACCTAAAAAGTGAAAAAGCATAATTGCCGGAGCATTTTCGTCTAGAGCATTTTTGGAGGACATTGACTAGTATTGAAAAGTTTGTTGCCCTTATTTTTTCTAGAAGCTTAGAATGAGGGACGTGAAAATAAAAATAAAAATAAAAAATTCCCTTATAACTATTTTCTTTATAAAAAGGAAAAATTACTAATAATTCATATTTTGCTTTAAACATTACTATTCAGAGTTAGTTTGAGAATTAACTTTTTTTTAGTAATTTTTAATCTTTTTACAAAAAAAAAAAATGTGCAAAAAATGTAAAAAGAATGTATTGAATTTTTGTATTGACATTTTGACTTTTAAACTATTTTAGTTCTCGTTTGGGAACAGGCTAATTTAGTAACTTTTTGACTATTTGGCTAAAAAAGTAGGTAAAAAAAACTTATATGTTTGGGATGACTTTTTGGCTAATTACGAAAAGATGTGCAAAAAGTAGAGAGAAAAGAGAATCTTTGACTTTTTAGTATAAGTTGTTAATTTTTTGGCTAAACAGATAACTTTTTGACTTTTTAGTTAAAAAGTCAATTGCCAAATATCCTGTCCTATCAAATTTCAATATAAATAACTATGTCCTATTTTTTATAAATTGTTCCCAAATGGTTCATTTCTCTAAAGTAGTATATTTTATCTCAATTTTACTCATTTCACTGAAACATGAATAAAAAGATAAAAAAAAATTAATTTATTAAAATTTTAATAATTAACAATATTTTTAATTATTGAAATTATGTAAATTTTTATAAATGGAAATATATGTATAAGGTTCATTAATTACCTCACTCATTTTGAAACATGTAAATTCACCACGATATTATTTTATGTAGTTCATTGAGAAAATTTTAATAAAATTTAATTTTTTATTTTTTTTATTATAGAAAAATCTTAGTTTGAAATAATGGAAAGTGATGAATTTTATGCCATAACTCTTTTGATATGATTGTTATTTATGATTTTGTATAATAAAATATAAGTAAATCAAAAATTATTTGCAAAATTGTTGAGAACGGTAAAACTTGGATAAAATACACTATTATGAAAAAATAAACTCTACGAAAACAATTTATTACAAATAGAACTTAGATCTTCATAGTGAAAATTGATACGACTAGATAACAACCTTCAAAACAAAAATAAAATTTATTGATAATATCCCTTATAAAAAAAAAATGGCATCTATTTTTAAAAAATTAAAAAGTGAAATAAAATAAAAAAATCACTTATTTTACAAATAAATTTTCATTTTCTTTCCACACATTCCTATGAGAACGTCATTGAACAACCCTTTTTTTTTTTTTTTCAATCTATAGGCTATCCCACTCCTAGATCGATAAGTTCATATGTCATGTAGCATTGCAAGGCCATCCCAGGGTGGAACCAGTTCAATCACAGTCAACTCAATTAGAAATTTGTTATCCCTCTTGATAGGCTAAGAGCGTTCACAAACATACAAGCCGAACGGACTGCCCTTGCTTCTCCTAGAGAGCATAGTTTTAAATTGCGGTATCAAATAATGTAACGGTATCGATCGTAAAGTATCAACATTGATAGTGTTGGTCGGTACGTATCGTGAATTGGGTGTCGCGGCTATGAAATTTTAAAAATCATTAGCAATCCCTCTAAAACTCAATTTTATGCATTTTTTTTTACTCTTTTAATCTTAATTTGTCACATTTTAATCAAAATTTTGATATGTATGAGCACTTTTGACTCATTTTCAACTAAATGATATGTATTTATTTTAGTCTCAATTATAACTTTCAATTATCTACAATAACAGTTTTCAATTGACAAATATTATAATTCTAATTTAGTTAGTAACAATAATACATTTAAAATAAAAATAAAAATCTGATTAGAATAAACCTCTTTTAAAAAAAAAATTCTAAATCTTAAGCATTTACACTAAAGCAAGACACAAATAAAAAATAAAATAAAATAAATTAAACAATAACAAACATTTCCACTAATCCAAGCTTTTCACAGATTTGATTTGAATATTTATTTTTCTTTTTCTTTTTTCTCCTTGCTCTGCTCAACAGAAATATATATATATATATTAATATAAACAGTGGTATAGTGTAGGTGTATAAACAAATAACTAGAAGGAAAAAAAAAAAGACCCTAAACATTTAGCACAACAAAGCATAGCAGCAGGTTCACCAAAAACAGATGGCATCCTCCTTGCATCGTGCTTTTTCTTCTAGTACGGTTCGTAAGTCGGATGACCTGGGTAGCTCGGTTTGTCTGGGTCTGGTTTGGTGTGAATGTGAAGGCCAATACGTGCTTCCTTCAGTGTATGATCTTTCGGATCTCGTCCTTTCAGACCTGGAGTGACGAGTTCTTGAAGATAAGGAGTGAGTGTCGCCTGTCCTGAGGCTTCTGCTCCTTCCTTGGGAGGGTGTAGTATTCCTACTATGATTCTCTGAGTGGCGAGGGGGCGTCTTGTGCTTGCGCCCCTCTCCTGTCGCCACATCTTTAGTCTTCTTCTGGCGTTTCAAAGCCTCCATGTCCGCCGCCATCTTTCGAATTAGTTCATCTTGTTCCTTTACGCGATCTTCCAGGGCTTAAGGATCAATCCTCC